CTCTACACTGTGGAAGAGTGTTGCGGTGAAATGTTGAAGGCAACTGGAAATTTTCCCACAATCTCCCCGAAATAAAGCTATCAGTATTTGTATACACAGTCTCCATCCCCCCACTCTGTGGTTTTGGTCAGGCAGGCCACTCAAGGACAATTGTGGTTTTGATGACAGACAAGCCACAGGCAAAGGATTGCACTCCTTATTCAGAGCTTTTTGAAACTTCTTTAACTGTATAATTTGGAATAAATATACATCAACCCTTTCATAAAATATAAAGCTGCTTCAGGTTTTTTCTTCTCCCGGAAAGCTGTGGTCTTACTTCAGGCACAAACAAGAAAAGATCGGGTACAGGCCCTGTATTTCAATAAATCTTCCTGTAATATCTTTTTTCTTAGCCCAAAAAATTATGCCGTAATTTACAGAAAGCTAAACCATATTGTTGGTTTGCATTTTATTATCTCTTGATGTGAAATACTGAAAATCTGTTATTACTTAAAACCATGATTGGACAATTCTGGCTAGGGAACCTTTAAAAAATATTATAGTAAACACTTCCAGTTTTGAATTCAGAAGTGAATGGAAATGGAGGTACATGTATAACAAGGGGCAGAGGTAACACAACTTGTACATTTAAACAAGCAAATGAAGCAAAAGGAGCAGAGGGACTGACAAAGCCTGTAAGTTTTTCCAAACAAAACAACCTACAACAGGCATTGACAATCTACAACAGGCATTGACAAAAAATCATAGTGTGTTGAGTGACCCTAGGTCAGTCTCTGGAAACCGCAAACCACTTAAGATAGTAACCACCTATTACAAGCCCACTGGTAATGTAAACAGTCCTTCACAGTAAGTGACCTACTAATGCAAAATTCCTCCACAACTTCCCCTCAATAAATAAAATGCTACTTGCGGGTAAATTGTGGGGACAGTATTCACTCTCCCCACAATTTTACCGCAACATGTCCCGGACGAGATTTGAGATGACTCCTAAACGTCAGGAAAACCTACCGCTCGTATGCAAAAAGGGACCAACAACGGCATTTGGATACCTCCCAAGCTACGTTGCTGGCAAATGGTGCTCAGCTGTCAGACTCTCTCACAAAGAACATGCAGAAATTTGTGCGTCCTTACAAGTCCTGCAATGCTCAGTGGGAGGAACTGAGCTCAACGTGCTATAAAAAACAACTGGTGGTGGAGAAAGGCTGATGAGCAAACCTTCGCAGACACCAACAACACCAAGGCCTTCTATAACTGCCTTAAGACAACCTATGGGCTGTCGCAGATAGGTACGGCTCCTGTACTGAGCATAGACGGTGAACATTTGTTCACGTCAACTGATGACAGTCTGCGTCGGTGGAAGGAACACTTCCAAACACTACTTAATCAGCCATCTTGTGCTGATGATGAGTTGGATATGAATCGGAACCTTCGATGGTGATTGACAATATTGTCAAGTGTTTACAACATGGTCCCTTTTTGTGTTTTGGTTCAATATTTGTCAAAATAAGTTAGATCCTTCTTTAAATAAGAGCTCTGAACACTTAAATTTTTCTCCATATTTGCTCACCTTCAAAATGCCTGAACAAATCCCGATAATGTAAGTGATTTTAATTTTTAGACTTTTATTTTTGAAAAATTTTGGAAACACAGTTCTCAGTGCTCTATCAGATAAAACTTGAGAAAATATGTTAAATCTGCTTTTCAAAATATTCACTTAACAACAGGGATGTCAGGAATTTATCTGAATTTCACATAATGCGCACTTTGGATTCTAATGGCTTGTAATAATGGGCAATATTATGAGGAAGAAAAATTGAATTGTGCCAGGTTGAGACCAACAGGGCCAACTAATGTTTGATGGACAATTGCCACAGTTTCCCCAATCTATCTTTGATGTAGAGCAGAGCTGCACAGCAAATCATGAAACCTCAGGGGATGAGGCAGCCATTTGTTCATGGTTATTAAAAATGGAGACTTTCCTTAAATTATGCCTCCGCTGTTGTCGGTCTAAAGGTATTTCAAATCTATGATTAGATGTTTCATTTCATGAGCTTTACTATTAAAACTATGAAACGCAAACTGCTCCTTGAACATGTCTCAAGAAATGTGGACCATTGATCAATGGTGATTTGTCATGAAACAGCAACGAATCACGAAGGAAAAGGAACTGTAGGCCAGGAAAATGTGAACAATTTCAGTACAGTGGGTGCATTCAACTAGCTTGCCCTGGTTACAAGGGTTTAACCTCATCCCTATCGTCTTGCTTGGGTTGACACAATGCACACAACCATCCATAGGTCAGGGTTGCTCTAACAGCTAGACACAAGCACCCAAGGGTGGATCCAGGACCCCAGTGTTTTTCGGTGGGGGGGGGCCAAGCTTGAATCTGGGGGCCAAATCTTTTTTACTTTTTAAAGTTGTTTGAGGGGTGAGGCTACATTTCCACTTTCCAAAAGAAGGGAAATAAAATAGATCAAAAAGATCCTTTCATTTTTTTCAAATGAAAACAAATTTGGCTCCTTGTTTGGTCATGACCCCAATTAGCCCCTCCCCCTTTCCTGGATTCGTCCTTGCAGAAAGATGGCAATGATATTAAACATAGGACTCTTACCTGTGCTACTTATGACGGCGCCTGCTTTGGCGATTTCATCGGACGGTCAGTCCACTCGCACCATGATGCTAGCCAGCCTCAATGTTCATGTGGGCATCCATGGCAGTACATTCACCTGGCAATGAGGCCTTCTCAAATCTAAACACAGAGAAAAATGACAAAACACAACAAGAAAAGGTCACCTAAGATTTTCAGTCAAACTGTGATAATAATTTTTTCCCCACTAGTAAAATGAGCAAAATATCCACGTGTCAACCCTTCACCACATAGACTCTTATTGTGGGTCACAAATGGGTTAAAAGTACTGTACAGTCTATCATTTGCAGCTATTCAAAAGGTATCAAAAATTGTTGAAAAGCCTACTTGGTTTAGATAGAGGGCTACATTCTGTGAGAAACTGTTCTCTCTGGCAAATGGTCATCATGAAGAAACAATGATTTCAAGCAGGCACCTTCTCAAATTTTTGGAAGTCACTATTAGAAATGCGTGCAAGCATTGACACGATGCACAGACACTAGCAGTTTCTATAATTCATCAGTTCAGGGGGAGACAAGGTGTACCTGCATTCAACTGAATATGAGAATGTTTCCCAGATGCTGAATTCAGGCACAATTTAAAAAACGACTCGGCAAACTTTTGATCTGAAATCTAAGTCCTAGAATAGTTTTCTCAGACTATGGAGCATTCACTATTAAGCTGAAACTTCATCTTCATCAGGTTTGTTCTTGTGCTCCCTTCTTTGAATTTCAAGTAATTTTGTAGCTTCAAAGGAAAATAATCCACAAAAGACAAATAGTGGACTGTACATTTTAAAAAATGGTTGCGACTTGTAACCAAAATCATAAAACAAGAGATGGCTTACTCCACTGGGGTAGTGATGCCAGAAAATGAGCCCATAGGCAGGGGACCAACCACGCTGCTATCGCTTTACTGTGTCAGCTGGCCAGTGATGCCAGAAGATAAGCCCACAGGCAGGGGACCAACCACGCTGCTATTGCCTTTAACACCTGGTAAAAGTACAGTAACAAAAAGGGAGCAGTTACATTATGTTTATATGCATTGTAATGTCAGGAAATGGAAAAGTGTATAATTTGTGTGGGTTTAATATCTTACATTTCTTATTCTGCTCCCCTCGTTCCCGGGATACTTTCCAACCTTATACTACTCAAAT